TAATCAATGTAATGAAACAAGGTATATGATTTGTTGAATGTAAAACTGATGATATGCCCTGTAAACTTTCACTCGATCCACAATAAAAACCTTAAGTAAAATAACAAATACTCACAGATTCCATAAGCAAAATTATTAATAATGTAGGTTTGTTTCTTTTAAATGTGCATATATTTCATTCTCCATTTTTGCACTTTGAAATTTACTTCATCACCAAGAAAATGATGATGTTATCTGAATGCTTTACCAATTGACTATTTAGTGGTGGCCTTCTTAGCTTACTGAGGCTTCTTACTGATTAGAGGCATCTGCCGGGATGGACTGGGGTCCTATTTATAGTCTGTAACAGGGACTTTATGATTGAAAGAGAAAGAGGTGGTTGACAGAACCCAAATTTCTTAATTCTGAGTCACACTGTTGCCTAATTTTGAAGTTATATTCGAGTCTGTTACTTGCACTTATTTGGGTATACTGCTTGGTTGGATTTGTCATTTCTTCAGCTCTCAAATATATAAATGCATTTTTCTGTCTGACTCTGAAGACCTTTGAACTTGATTGAATTATGCATTCAATATTTTTGTCTCTTAGGACCACTCAGCTTTTAGAGATGTCAATACACTACTTGATTAAATTCTGGTTAATGCTCATGAAGTTGTCTTTCAAGTAGAGAGGAACTCAGTTGAAAAGACAGCTCATCACGTTGGGGTCCTTGAGTACCCTTAGAAAAAGATGGTTTCCAGCCCCAGAACCATTCTCTATGTTACCAGTCTCTCTGTGTGTAGTTTCTGGGTCTGAGTGCCCATTTACTGATGGGGGAGACTGACCAGTCTCCTTTTCCAGTCTCACTTCTCACCTCTTCATATAGGCCAGCCCCACAGGCACTGTACCTCAGATGTTCCCTGGCCTTCCTCCTTGACTGCCTCCTGTAGATAGATTTTTGTTTCAAATATCTGATCCTTAAGGCATTCAGAGCATGTTTGGCAAATGCATGAACTAAAGCCCGAGTTGATGAAAACACTAGGGCTCCACATGAGGCCTTTCTTGACATCTCTCCTGCCAGTTGCCTTCCTGTTGTATTCCAGCTTACCCCTAGCCCCATCACTACAGGTGCCTTGTGTAAGAACCTTACCTTAGCGCTCCTTATAGCATGGCTTTTCCTGTCTTTCCGATAAACTGTATGTTCCTGCAGTCTTTACTCAGCCTGACTTCTACTCCACTCCCCCAAACCAACTAACCAACAAATAACCAAATCCAAACCATTTACTCCTGATGACCACAGAGTAGAACTGGGTTCCATAGAATTTTCAGTGGCTGTGAGCTTTTGGAAATAGATCATCATGTCTTTCTTCTAAGGTGCTTCTGGGTGGATTTGAGCTTCCAACCTTTTAGTTAGTAGTATTTGTGCCACTCAGGTCTCCTTTACTCATCTCAGACTCACTCACAAGAGAAGGGAGAGCCTGGGCTATTTGCTGAAGCTAATCTGCATCTGTGAAGTGATGGCCTATTCCAGGCCCTGCTGGAGGTTGTGGAGAAACCTCTGTCTGTGGGATTAGCCGGGCAGTCATCACTTAGGATTTCCCTGGAGGCCTCTGTCCTAGGCTCCCTATTTATCTGCCCCCTGCCTGGTGTGCTCTGTTCTGTTTCCAGGGGCGGGAGCAGGATGTGAGTCGAATCATCCAAGCCCTCCACGAGTGCCTGGCTGCTCTTCCCCGACAGCACCTCCGGAAGGTCGGGGCCATTGGAGTGTCAGGACAGATGCACGGAGTCATGTTTTGGAAAACAGGCCAAGGTATGTTGGAGTCTGGTAATGAGCTCATGCTGCCAGAAATCCTGTTCAGAACTAGGAAAATGCTACAAAGACTCTCAGCAAAGGACAGGTGTTCTCCTGTGGGCAAGGTGTCTCACACTGGGAATGGAGAGGCACCTGCTGGCTCTTGTATTCTGTATGCATTCTGCCTTGTACAAGCATGTCATCTGCATTTTGCAGGCTGTTAATGAGCCTTCCTCCAGTCCTGATGCCACGTTCTCCTTCATGTAGTACAGCTTCTTGGAACAGCTGGGGTCATTGGAGAAGCAGCACAGGCTCTCCCTCCCTCGCTCTAGTCATCTCTCTTATCGGCCTGTTGTCAGGCTAGCTGGGACCACAGCAACTGTTTGTCTCCAGGCCATAAAAGAGCAGAAGGCTGATTAGGGGGTTACAGTTGACTTCTCAGAGGGAGTCTTGGTTGTAAAAGCTTTTTAAACTCCTTAATTTTGCATTAACAAGGAGAAATGTTCTTTTAATACTAAAACCCTTCCCAAAGAGGCCAGCACAGGTCTAATGATTGTGGTCTGGTTAAATGCCGTCCTCTCTCCCTGTCTCCTGGACTTTCTAACAACCACACAAACCATTGCCCACATCATTGGAGAGAGCTGCTTAATATTTCATTGAACTGAGCCTCAGGCCTTCTTATTTTGTTTTGCGTTTCTGGGAAGGAGGAAATCTACTGCTTGATGATGATGGTTCTTACTTAGTGTAGTCGAGTGACATCATATTTGGGATCAAGTTGTGCTGTTCTTAACAGCAGCCTTAATTCAGTTTGGTTTTTGTACCTACGATATCTAAGGCTCTGTGCTGAGTCCTGCGGGACCTAGAGAAATGAGTGGGCAGAAGCCTATGGGGAGAGATGGGCCCCAGTAACTGTGCACAGGGCTAAGTGCTTCGACCCGGGCAGGAAGAAGCAAGTTGAAAGAGAGGAGAGGGACCAATCAGCGTCTTCTGAGAGGCCTGTGGTTACATCTATTTCCAAACTCCATTTTCAGGCTCCGTAGGAGCAGCAGAGAAATTGGGATCATAAAACAAAGCTAAAAGGCAAACAATAGACCTGGTTGCTACCTGGGCAGCCAACCAAGGATGGATATCAGTACACAGAAAGAACCACTGACAAAAAGAATGGCCCTGTGGAATCATGGGTAAAGGTTACCAACAGACAGCCTAGGAGAGGAAATACAAATGGCTCATGAAAGGTGCTGAGTGTCATTAGGAATTAGGGAAATGCAAACGAAAACAACTCTGAAAACTCATTTTCTATTTATTGGATTATAAAAAGATAAAAAAGTTTAATAATGTCAAGCATTGGCAAGAGGATGGACAATTGGTTCTCTTAAATGCTCCTACTGGTAGTGTAAACTAGCACAGTTGTTTGGAAGAGCAACCTGGCAGGGCTAGGATCAGGCAGTGTTTTGTTCTGTTGTGCATAGAGTTGCTATGAATCGGAACCGACTTGATGGCACCTAACAACAACAACAATTAAAATCAGGTGGTGCCATGACTCAGCAGTTCTGGAATCTGTTCAGGAGAAGTGTATGTACTCAAGAAGGCACCGTCATGGCTGTTCATCACATCCTTGTTTATCAGAGTGTAGAATGTGACACTTCATTGTAGTGCTGTGTTTAGATAAAATGCCATGGGGCAGTGGTGGTTCTGTGGTAGAATTCTTGCCTGTCATGCTGGGGACCTGGTTTGATTCCCAATGTGCATCGTGCAGAGCTGCTGCCCGTGGCTGGTATCTCTAGAAAGGACCAAGCAGGGAAGAAAGCTGTGCTCCAGATCAAGGCCTGGGACCACATACCTGAAGCATTTACTTGAAGTCAAGTGAAGTTCCTCTTGGGCCTGGGGGTTTCCTCCTGGCTAGAGAGAACATTTCCTGGGAGTAGTCTATCCCCACAGCTACATTTCCACCTGAACCTAAAAGGGGGATCCTTTTCCCTGCTCTAAAGCTGGTCTCCACAATTTGTTGTTGTTGGTGTGCCATGGAGTCATTTCTAACTCATAGTGATCCTGCATAGGGTTTCCAAGGCTATAAATTGTTATGGGAGCAGAAACCTCATCTTTCTCCTGTGGTATGGCTGGTAGTTTCAAACTGTTGACCTGGAGGTGAGCTGCCTGACTTGTAACCACTATGCTATCAGAGCTTGTCAAAACTCATTGGATCCAATTTCTTTTCTTAAAGAAAAAAAAAATTAGGACAAATCCACTTGAAGCTATTGCCTGGAGATCATCTTTAAATCCTTAACATTAAGCCAGAAATAACCACCGAAGTCTTTTGAAATCAAACAACAGTTCAGCTTAACAAGTAAAGAGTGCTTTTTTAAAAACCATGTATGTGGGAGCCAATTGATCATAGCAACTGGAAAGACTAGACATAAAATGTAGGGGGCAGTGAGTTTACGTTAATGGGGGAGGAAGAGTTCAGAAAAGCAGGGAGATTACTACGTCTTAACTGCCAAACCACTGAGAATCTTGGCCCCCGGTCCAATTGATACAAAACCTTAACTACCACAATGAGCAAATTTACAGGAAAATGTAATGGCCTTGGCTTCCAAATCTTGTATGTGGTGCGTTCAGCTATCAACTTGTTAGGAGCTGTTGAGTTGATTCTGACTCATAGTGATCCTATGTACAACAGAATGAACCTGTGCTGTTCTCGTAATTGTTACGTTTGAGCCCAGTGTTGCAGTCACTGTGCCAACCAATTTCATCGAGGGTTTTCCTTTTTTTTCACTGACCTCTAGTTCATCAAGCATTTTCTTTTCCACAGACTGGTCTCTCCTGATAACTTGCCCAAAGTATGTGAGACAAAGTCTTACCATCCTCACTTCTGACAGTACGGCTTCCAAGATGTATTTGTTCATTCTTCTGGTTGTTTTCTACTATGTTCAGTGTTGTTTGCCAAAACCATAATTCAAATGCATCGGTGTTTCTTTGGTCTTCCTTATTCACTGTTCAGCTTTCATGTACATATCAGGTGATTGTAAATACCATGGTTTGTTTGTGTCAGGCATACCTTAGTCCTCAAAGTGGCATCTTTGCTCTTTAACACTTTCAAGAGGCCTTTGGCAGCAGATTTTCCCAGTGTAACAAGTCATTTGATTTTTTGACTATTGCTTTCATGGGTTTTGTTTGTAGGTCCAAGTAAAATGAAATCCTTGGCAACTTCAGTATTTCCTCCATTTATCATGACATTGTCTACTGGTTCAGTTGTAAAGGTTTTTGTTTTCTTTACATTTAGGTGTAATCCATACTGAAGGCTGTAGTTTTTGACTTTCATCAGTGCTTCAGATCGTCTTTACTTTCAGTAAACAAGATTATGTCACCTGCATATTGCTGGTTGTTAATGAGTCTTCCTCTAATCCTGATGCTGCATTCCTCTTCATGTGGTTCAGCTTCTCTGTGATTATTTGCTCAGCATACAGATTAAGTAAGTATGGTGAAAGTATGCAACCCTGACACACACCTTTTCTGATTTTAAACCACTCAGTATTCCCTTGTGCTATTTGAAAGACTACTTCTTGGTACGTGTACAGGTTCTGCATGAACACAATTCAGTGTTCTAGAATTCCCATTCTTCTCAATGTTTCCCATAGTTTATAAAGGTCCATATAGTCAAATGCTTTTGCATAGTCAATAAAACACAAGTAAACATCTTTCTGGTATTCTCTGCTTTCAATCAAGATCTATCTGATGTCAGCAGTGATATCCCTCCTTCCGTATCCTCTTCTGAATCTGGCTTCAATTTTTGGCAGTTCCCTGCTGATATATTGCTAAATTATCTTCAGCAAAATTTTGTATTCCTCCTGACAATATGTCCAACGTATGAGAGACAAAGTTTTGCCATACTTCTTTTGGCAGCCCATGGCACTTTCACTATTCTCTTCCAACACCATAACTCAAAAGCATCAATTCTTCTACGGTTTTCCTTATTCACTGTCCAGCTTTCACATGAATATCAGATTATTGAAAATACCTTGGCTTGGGTCAGGAGTACCTTAGTCTTCAAGCTGACATCTTTGCTCTTCAACACTTTAAAAAGGTCTTGTGCAGCAGATTTGCCTAATGCAATACATTGACCATTTCTTTTTGGTACAGTGACTCTGTGTATTCCTTCCATCTTCTTTTGATGCTTTTTGCATCATTCAATAACTTGCCCAGAGACTCCTACAATAAAAAGAGTCGAGGCTTGAATTTTTTCTTCAGTACCCCAGCTTGAGAAATGCTGGGTGTGTTCTTCCCTTTTGGTTTTCTAACTCCAGATCTTTGCAATTTCGTTGTAATATTTGATTTTGTCTTCTCAAGCTGACCTGTGAAAGGCATATGAATATTATCCTATCACCATCAACAGTGTACTGCTGGATAGATCTTGAAGTGTTCTTTTTGAAGATGAATGCAATGCCATTCTTCTTCAATTTGTCATTGCTGACATAACAAATCACATGATTGTCTGATTTAAAATGGCCAATACCAGTCATTTCAGCTCACCAATGTCTAGGATATCAATCTTTATGAGTTCCACTTCATTTTTAAAACTTTCAATTTTCCTAGATCTATACTTCGTACATTCCATATTCCAATTATTAATAGATGTTTGAAATTGTTACTTTTCAATTTGAGTCATAACCCATAAGCAAATGAAGATCCTGAAAGCTTTGCTTCATCCAACTCATTGAAGTCAGCTCTGCTTTGCAGAGGTAATTCTTTCCCAGTTGTATTTGAATGCCTTCCAACCCGAGGGGTTTATCTTCTGGCACTTTATTAGACAATGTCCTGCTGCTATTCATAAGGTTTTCATTGGCCAGTTTTTAAAGAAGTTGATCACAAAATCCTTCTTCCTAGTACATCTTACTCTGGAAACTCAACTGAAACCTGTCCACCATGGATGGATGGATGGCCCTGCTGGTATTTGAAATACCGATGTCATAGCAACATACAAGTTACCACAGTATGGCAAACTACAGACGAGTGTTAGAAAAATTAGTTAGCTAAGACCAAAGAAAAAGTGAAAATATATATTGATGATTATATATATATATATATATATATATATATATATATGATCATCAAGATGATCAAGATTAAAAGTTTATATGATGTTATCCTGAAGAGTGTTGGAAGAAAATTTGAGACAAGTGTGCTAAACCTATCTTATTTTCAGAGAGGAGATATAATAGCAACTTTATGAATGGAAGTGTGTATCCCTCCAAAATCTGTATTGAAGTCCTTGTCCTTATACCTAGGGATGTGATCTTGTTTGGAAACAGTTTTCTTTGCTATGTTAATTAGGCCATACGTGTATAAGGTGAGTCCTAAACTTAATGACTCCTGAGTTTTAGAAAGAGCAGAAGAGACAGAACACAGACAAAGGGAAGAAGACAGATGTTGGAGTCAGATGTATCTATAAGCCCAGGGACACCAAAAATTGCTGGAAGCTACTTGACGCCACTCCACTTGTGGTGTTTCTGTTATGGCAGCAGTAGGTAACTAAGACATCAACTTAAACAAGTGACTACAGAGATATAGAAGAAGTAGGACAAATGGAGTGAGTGACTAGCCAGGAACTGAATCTGGGTGCTCTGATGGCACAATTCATGTGTGTGAGTGGAGCATGATCGAAGGGCGATACTGCGTGTGCTGTAAACTCACTAGCAGAGTAGTCTCAGGACCTGCTGGTGGCTGGTCAGTGATGGGGGTTTCCTTTGTTTCAGGCTGTAAATGGACAGAGGAAAAGGCTACCCCGGTGTTCGAGCCCAGAACCGTGAGCCAACTAGTCACCTGGCAGGATGGTCGCTGTAGCAGTGGATTCCTGGCTTCTCTGCCCCAGCCTGAGTCCCATCTCAGCGTGGCCACTGGGTTTGGTTGTTCAACCATCTTCTGGCTTTTGAAAAATAGGTACAGGCACTTATTCTTTGGCACTTATTTCCAGGGAAAGGTGAGGGCTGGAAGCTATAGCTCCACCTGCTGGACAGAGCCTCAGGGAGGGTGGGCTAGCACAGGGCAGGGTCAAAAGATCTGGACTTGTTCTTGAACAGTTTCATTTCTCAAAGGTCTTTCGATTGGTTATCCAAAGAGGGAGAGAGGGGCCCAGAGAGGGCAAGTGGTGAGTTTATGGTGGGGTCAGGGCTCAGGGCTCCTGAGAACAGCCAGTGTTCAGCTTTCTCAGGCACAGAGGGCATCCTCCTCTGAGTTCCCTGCTCTAGTGCTGCTGTGAGTGGCTGGGAGATCCTTATCCAGGAGACCACAGCATGTGGAGTTCTGGCTGATGTCTGTTCCCCTTTGCCCTCAGTGAGGTATAGTAAATGCTTTTGAGACTATGTGAGACCACCTTGAATTGTTTTTGGTATAAAAACAGCCCAGAATTGCTAAAAGCCTATGATGTGGCTGGCACCATCCAGGACTATGTAGTTGCCATGTTGTGTGGCTTGCCAAGACCCCTGATGTCGGACCAGAATGCTGCTAGCTGGGGATACTTCAATACCCGGAACCAAAGCTGGAACCTGGAGATGTGAGTATAACCTCAGCTGATGGTTTCCGGGCATGAATCAAGTCTAGTGCCCCCCAGCTTGTTTCAACCACTTGCATGGGCCTGGCTGTAAGAGAACCGTGAGGGGGTGAGGTGGGGGCCTCTGCCCACCAAATAGTGCTGTCCTGCTCCTACTCTACAACCAGACCTGGGATGGACTCCCCGGTTCTCTGTGATCTCAGCCTTCATCTACAGATTTCAAAGAAGAACTTTCACATTTTAACATATTTAAAGATAAGATTAAGGAACAAAAGTTGTCAGCTTAAGAGACGCCTTATAAATTCTATTTTAAACTATCATTTGCTTTTTCAGGTACAGAAGTCCAGTGCCCTATATATTTACTTCATTCAGGGCTTAAATTCTGAGCTCTGAAAAAAAAAAAAAAGAGAAAGCCCTTGCTAGTTCAGGTAAAAGGACGTTCTTGTGTGTTTTGTAAAATTGACAGCTCGTTTTCACTAACCCTGCATTGGATGTTCTGGAGGCTGATGGTTCTGAGTTTGGTTTGGACTTTGTTAAGCAGCTATAGCTTTGTACTCAAACTCAACTTAGTAGAGGCTGCGAGTCCCATCACCTCTGACTCTTCTCTACTCTGCCCTCAGTACTGCTACTTACACTAGTTGGTTTGACCCCCAGAAGATAAGGTCCAGGATTTTGAAAGCCATTGTTCACTATTGGAAAATCTAAGCCCGTGGCTCTTTCACCTCATCAATTTTTTATTGTGCATGGGTGAAGGTTAACGGAGCAGATCCTCAGATTTTTCCATCCAACAATTCCTACACATTTTGTTTCACCTCCCTTACCGCAGTCCTCACAATATAAACTCACTCATTCCATTTCTTCCCTGTGTTTCCTGTCTTCATTCTTCCTCCTTCTCTAACCCCTCTGAACTTTGTCCTTGGGTAAATGCTGCCCTTTAGATTTCAAATGGTTGATAAGTCTAAGGAGTGCCTACCTCTCTAGTGTTACTGCTCCCCTTATAGACTTGTGTATTGCTTGAATGACACCTGAGTCATGGGGTGAGTTCATTTCCAGACCATTGTTTCAAGGAGTCCACCAGTTTGTATCCAACCAGTAAGCCTCGTCTTTCGTGTGTGTGATTTTGAGTTTTGTTCCACATTTTTCTCCCACTCTGTCCAGGACCTCCTATGGCTCATGGTTTAAAAAATAATTCTGAGCGGCTGGTTTGAAACCTCTGAGCTGTATCCTTCCTTGTGTATATGCACTTTACAGCTCTTTCCGTTGCTGAGTTCCCTGGAAACTCCAGAACTCCAGCTGTCAGTCATTACAGACGCCTGCTTCTGTCTTCCAGACTGAAGGCCTCAGGCTTTCCCGTCCACCTGCTCCCGGACATCATGGAACCTGGCAGTGTGGCAGGCCGGACTTCCCACATGTGGTTTGAAATTCCAAAGGGGACGGAGGTGGGAGTGGCCTTGGGTGATTTACAGGCCTCCGTCTATTCCTGCATGGTCCAAAGGACAGATGCAGGTCAGTGTTCGTGAGCTCTGGGCTCAGGTCTAAGGGGCAGCCTTGGACCGTGGTGGCGATTAGTATATTGCAAAGTGGTAAACACCTTCATCCCTCTGCTCAGGGAGCTTTCTTCCTGGGCATGGACAAACTGTGTGCTTACTAACCCCAGTAGGGCCAGGGAGGGAAAGGCACTCTGTGGTTCTGACTAGGTTAGGATTTTTGTTAGTGGATTTGATTTGAAGTGCAGAGCCTTTTCTGCCATCAGGGAAAGAGAGTCCACAGAGAGATGGAGGGAGCCGCTTGGAGCAGGGAGTTGGCTAGAGAGTCAATCTTTTTGGCTTTGGGGGCCTGATGGTCTCTTGCAGTAAGGCAACTGCTGTAGGGTGAAGGCAGCCAGGGACAATATGTAAAGAAATGAGTGTGACTGCATCCCAATGAAACTTTATGGGTCCTGTAATATCATCAAGTAAATGTTGGGTTGCATAGTGGCTCTGTATGATAATCACTGGGCTGGGAACCACAAGGTTGGCGGTTTGAGTCCATCAACTACTCCATGGAAGAAAGATGAGGCTCTCTGCTCCCACAAATATGTATAGCCTTGGAAACCCCATACAGGGTCACTGTGAATCGGAACTGACTCAAAGGCACTTACCAGCAACAACAAAGTAAATGGTATTGGCTTTCTAAGACATGCTGGGCTCTTCTGTCTCCTAATCCCACCCATTGCCGCTGAATTGACACTGATGCCTAGTGGCCCCAGAGAACAGAGTACAGTTGCCCTCCTACTCTCCACCCCCACCCTCAGGGTTTGCAAGATTGTACATCTTTATGGAAGCACACTGCCACATGTCTCTCCCTCAGAGCAGCTGCTGGGTTCAAACTGCTGACTCTCTGGTTAACGGCGGAGCCCTTAAATGGCTGCACCACCAGGGCACCTTTCTAACTCCCAGTAGGTGGTGAAATTGAATGCTGACCTAGACTGAGAAGGCAGGTTTTTGGGCCAAGTCTCAAGAGAGATGGAGAAGAGAGTATTGAAACATTTCACAGGCTCTGTTCTAGAACTTGAGGGGAATCATCTCCTTTCTGCTAGGTAGAGATTTCCTCTGCTGCTTATCTGTTGCTGTGTAATTTCCCAATATTTAGGAGCTTAAATACAAGCATGTGTAATGTCACATTGTTTTAGAAGGTATGGCTCTGGGAGTGACCTGTGGTTCTGGCTCACCCAAGGCCTCTTGTGTGTTTGTAATCAAGCTGTTGGCTGGGGCCGGAGTCGCCTGAGGGCTTGACTGGGCTGGAGGGTCTGCTAATTAGCTTGCTTATATGGTTGTTGTTAGCGGGCATCAGTTCTTTACCCTGTGACCTTCTCTACAGTGATACTTCTGATATGGCAGCTGCTTTTTCCTTAGAGCAAGTGATCTAAGAGAAAGTGACCAAGACCCAAGACAGAAACTGAAGTGCTATTTTTTGTTTTTAAAGTTTTTTTTGTGTGTGTGTGGGTGAAGGCTGACAGAACAGATCCTCAGTTTTCCACTCAACAATTCATACACATTTTGTTTCACCTCATTGACTGCAATCCTCACAATGTAACAGAACTTATAGTGCACTTTTATGACCTAGTCTCTAAAGACACATAATGTCCCTTCTATTTTATTCTGTTAATTGCAAACAAGTCACTATGCCTAATCTACATTCAAGGGGAGGATGTTTAGTCTGTACCTCTTTGAAGAAAGCATATCAAATTTGTGGACCTATTTTCAGAGCTACCACACTGTCTCGGTTGTGACTTGTGACATTGAAATGAGTTCAGCAGATCTGACCTCTGCTTTCTTGGGACCCCCTAGTTCTCAACATCAGCACATCGGTGCAGCTGGCGGTCTCCATGCCTTCAGGATTCCAGCCAGTGCAGACTCCAGACCCTTCAGCGCCTGTTGCCTACTTCCCATACTTCAACAAGACCTACCTAGGGGTGGCAGCGTCCCTCAATGGAGGCAACGTGTTAGCCACGTTCGTCCACATGCTGGGTCAGTGGATGGCAGATCTAGGTAAGGTGGAGCCTACACAGTGAGCTGCTTTCTGCTTGTCCTTTTCCCCTGAGAGTGTCGTAATGTATTTCACGTGCGACTGGGCCTTTCTGATTCTCATTTCTGCCCCAGCTTGGTTCCAGTGTACCCCTTCTCTCTCTTCCTTTCATCTTCTGAGCTATCATCAGCAACTCTCTTTTTGGTGGGTACCTTCTCCTGAAACTTTAACTGTGGACTATCAAAACCATTTCCCCAACTCTCCCTTGCCCACTGTCTTTCTTGTTCTGTTTGTAAGTCTCTGCATCCCTTGCACTGAAACGTTTTCCTTTCAGATGACTGCAAATCAAATGACTAAACATGAATGAGTGAAAAGACCCCTGATATTTCATGACATTATAAAGTTGCTTTCTTGGAAGGGTCCCTGAAAGTTCTTTTCTGTAAGACAGGTTCAAAGTCGACTCCTAGGAGTTTGTTCAGCTGCCAGGAGCACTAGATGAACAGTTTGGCTTGTGATGAGGGGCTAACTTGTATGGAAAAGATTTATTTTTAAACCTTAGAATCACCCTGTGTGGCAAAATGCAGACAGCATGAGAGGCACAAAGGAACTGATGTGAACTGAAGGAGCTGGAGCTTTCGAGTTTGGTAGTTGCTCCGGGCACCTGCTCATTTTGCAGGGATCAGGGTATAGGGGTGTAGGGCTAGACAGACAACTGCTGCTCTCCATTCTGAGGGTTTGCTACCAGCCCCGGTATCCCCTCTGCATTCTGCAGTTACGTGGGCGCCCAGAACACAAGTCCTCATGGAGGGTGAGCTGGCCTCTCCTTATCACATCTTCCTTACCAGGCGTCCTCTGCTGGGAAAAGCTTTCACTGTTATCTTCTTCCCATTTTCCAAGTAGTGTTAAGACTTCCCATTTCTGGCTCTTTTCCTTTCCTGTACATTTTGTCCTTGTAAATTTTTCTCATCTTTTGAAACATTTCTTTCTTTCTTTTTTAATTGCTGATATTTTAATGGGATTTCTAGAGAGCAAAAGGCGATAGTTATGTTCATTCTGCCATATTAAACCAGGAGTCCTGCTGATAAAATTTTGACTAGTTGCCTATGGCATTGATGTTACCCTTTCTCCGTTTCTCTAATTCCTGAATGTGCGCAGTTCAATTTGTAAACGCTAACTGTGTTGATGACACCTCCCCACTATGACTCTCTGGGTGGTTACATGTTTCAGATGCTTGTGGAGCTCTGGTGGTGCAGTGTGTTAAGCATCAGACTGCTAACCATAAGCTTGGCAGTTCAAACCCACCAATCACTCTGCAGGAGAAAGATGAAGCTGTCTGCTTCTTTAAAGATTCACAGTCTTAAAACCCTCAGAGTTCACCACGAGTCGGAATTGACCCAATGGCAGTAGGTTTTTTTTTTAGAGTTTTAAAACAGTGTTGATGTCCTAGTTTCACCACCAGAAATTCTGCATTTTGTGACTGGGGTAGGGGCTAAAATTTGATAGGAATCCCTCCGGAAATTCTGATGCCTGTGCCAGTTGATAATCGTAACCTGGAACCTTGCTCCTCAGAAGGTGTGGTCCAGGGATCAGCAGCATCAGCATCATCTGGGAGTTTGTTCCAAATACAGAATCCCACACTCTGCCCCAGGCATGCTGAGTCAGAACCTGCATTTTAGTAAGTTCTGCAGGTGATTCTGTCTCTCATTCGAATTTCAGAAGCAAGAGTCTAGACTGGCATTTCTCAACCTTGGAATATTTCTCAATTATCTGTGGAATGTTTACAAATCCAGTTACCATGGGGTTAAATGCTACTCGTGTTGATACCATGTACATCAGAGTAACTGTGCTCCATAGGCACTCCAGTGGCTCTGACCTTTCAGAAATAAATGGCCAGGCCTTTCTTCTGAGGTGCCTCTGGGTGGATTCTTATCAAGAACCTTTGTGTTAATAGCTGAGCATGTTGCTCATGCCAATTTAATTAGATTCTCTGGAGGTGGAACCTAGGCAGAAGTATCTTTTAAAGCTCCTTCAGTGATTCCAAAGGTGGCCTGGTAGCGTATGGTTATGAGCTGGGCTGCTAACCGCAAGGTCAGCAGTTTGAATCTACTCACCACTTCATGGGAGAAAGATGAGTTTTTTTTGTTTTTTTTTTCTCCTGTGAAGATTTACAGCCATGAAAACCCTGTATAGGGTCGCTATGGCTGGAACTAACTCCACAGCATACTACCACCACCACCATCACCACGGTGATTCCACTATACAGCCCTAGTGGAGACTCCCAGTCTCGATTACTTTCAGCCCGTCAAAGGCCAGGTGTATCTTCCTTCAGTTAATGGTAGGTTAGAGAGAAAAAGTGATTCTAAGGCCAAAGCATATTGAAACCAAAGACCTGCTCATCTTAGAATGTAGCACTAACACAGTATGGGGAAGAAAATTTGTCAGGACTCTGGTTTGAAATGGCCCAGTTGTAGGATGGTCAATACATCACTTCTCTCTGGGCTCATGTGTATGATGAGGGGTCGCTAGACTGGCCCTGAAAACTTTCTCCATCCTGTGAGCCTGCGATTTCTGTGACATCGCCCATTAGTCTAGTAACAGCAGTGATGCTATATCTTGATCAGAGTGTGCACTTAAGGCTAAGGACCCCATAGCTGTGGGATGGTTAGGAAACCTGGGGGATATCTTGTTGAAGTCTGGGCTAGGGTCTGCAGCAAGATAGCTGGCTGGGGTCTGGGGCAAAGGATAGCTAACCAGCCCATGTGGTTGCCTAAGCCTGAAGCAGCCAGCCAGGATAAGCAGCAAGTAGACCTAACCCTACCACTTATGAGTTCTATTTTTTCTCAGCCTGAAGTGAGCTCACACTGGTCTTCTCTGCTCCCAGCAGGCCTGGAAGTTGAAGAATCCACTGTGTATTCCCGTATGATCCAGGCAGCGACACAACAAGAAGACACCTGCCTAACTATCACCCCAACGGTGCTGGGAGAGAGGCACCTCCCGGACCAGCTGGCCTCGGTGACCAGAATCTCCTCCTCAGACCTCTCGCTGGGGCATGTGACTCGGGCCCTGTGCCGAGGCATCGTCCAGAACCTGCAGTCAATGCTTCCGTTCCAGCAACTCAAAGAGTGGGGCGTGGAGCGGGTCACTGGGAGTGGGAGTGCGCTGTCCAGGAACGAGGTGCTGAAGCAGGAAGTGCAGAGGGCTTTCCCTTTTCCAGTGTCCTTTGGACAGGATGTGGATGCAGCAGTTGGTGCAGCTCTAGTCTTGCTCCGGAGGAACCTCAAACAGAAGAAGGAGGCTTAATCAGAAAATCCTGTGTCCAAAGGACTGCTTTGAATTTTATCCAGTTAACATTCCTGATATGATCTTGGAGTCATCTTTCCCTTGATGGCTTTGTGGTGCAACTTTGAAGCAATGCTTGCTGGTGGGAATCATTTTGACTGAAACATAACTTTGGGCCTCAGTATTATAATGCAACCAGCTAGGGGCACATGCAAAAATAAGTAAACTGTCCGAGCTTCCTGCCCATCGTACTCTTCTAAGATTCACTTGTAGACAAAGAGAAAATAAATGTGAACTTCAGACACCCAAAAGCCTGGTGGCTCTGGGCTCCAGGTGAAAAGAGAAGACTCACAACATGCCCAGCCTTTGAATCTTTTGTTTTTAGGAACATAAAGTTCATACTTGGGTCACATTCACTATTGGAAAATTCCTTTCCTACTACATCCAACCAGATGTCTCATTTGCAAAGTCTTCTCTGCTTACATTCTTCCAAAGGAAACTTCCCCACCCAAGGGCCATTGCTGAAGGGAATGGCACTCCGGTGACCTTGTTTTGTGCCATGTGACCCTGAAGCCCTTTCTCAATCTCATCCTCTCCTAGTCGCAGCTGGTAAGGAAGGTGAAGCTGGCTGGCTCAGGTGAAGAGAAGGCAGAAGTCAGTACTGCCTACTTTCTATGTGCACTGACCCCTCACTGGAGTTCCTTAGGATGCCCTAGATTCACACATTGCCACTGTCTTGATGACATGTAAAGGGAAGAAATGGTTAATGGCAACCAATAAAGGGGGCCACTACCCTTCAGGTACAGTGCTCCTCCAGTAAGACCCTTTGCCAGTAGCACATCTCTACAGCAGTGTGTTTTTGCCCCTGCCCAGCCCTAGGAAGCCTTTGTGGGAAGGATTGCAGCTAGGCCAGCTCCCGCCAGCAAGAGGCCTGCTTTTTCTCTTGCTTGTTGTGAAGACAGTGATCCTGGAACTTGGGCATTGCTACTCTCAT